CAATAATGTTCACGACTAACTGTTTTTGAAAATTAAGAATAACTGTTTGTTTATTTTATGAATCACCGTTTTGTTAGAAAAACTTGTAGTGTTGCATCAGTGTAGGAGTTTTCCTAGAACGTTGCGTTGTGAACAAAAGTTTCTTCACTATGACAGTATATATACATCGATACCTTTTACTATTAACATTGAATATAATATTCTACCCTCAGCCCAAATGTGTTCTTCAAAAGTACTAAATATCATTGCTTATTGTTACGTTACGATGAGTTAGTGTAGATAATGATGTGACTTGCACATAAGATTTTACAGATTAGGTAGTCACATGACATATCCACTGTTTCGGGATTGGGTCTATTATCAAAGTATTATTAACATCAAACTGGACTGTGGTTCAACATACTTACAAGATTTATGATACAAAAGATTGGGTATAGATTTTATGTTTATATTTAAATATTTCACTAGATGAATAAACGTGGCAGTAGTCAATACAAAGCATAGTTATCGTCAATTTTTGATTTGCCCTTCGCGTAATCTTCCATATTCAGAAATTTGCCAAATTGTTCACCGGCATGGACTTGATTATTAGAAAGGTTTAAACCTTTCAATTAGTTGACAGAGGCTATAAGTTGCATATCAGAAAACGTATGGAGACCTTCCCAGCTTACAGCAATTCTGAATAACAACAATTCAATCTTGAAATAAATGAATAAACTTCGTCATCAGTATCAAATCCAATAAGTAAATGAAATTACAGCTAACAGGATGTACAGATAAGTGTCTTACTTGATGTAAACAGTGCTCTTCATATTCTAACCGTCCTAGAATTCCACCCAGTCATCTAGTGTTAACAAAATACTGCAAGTACCATATAAACGGATTCAAAAACTTTAATTATTAATTGAAATCTGAGAAATATCCAATTACAACGTTCATAATATTATTAGGAATTCACTATTTACATACAATAATTACACAACTGGTAAGCACAATTTAGATACCACTCGTCAATATGCAATAAAACTTTGCAATCTGGTCACTGATTTCGGATTCCGTTAACAGAAATTCATTCGTTAACTTGAAAACAGACACATCATAAATTAGTATTAATTACAACATGGTTTAAATACTATGCTCAAAACAAACATGCATCGTTTGACTTATGAAGAAAATGTGATTAATTAATGTAGCACTTGCAGTAATGTTATACACAGTTCCTGGATATGTTCAGAAAAGGCTATCAACGTTAATTGTTACAATTTTTTTCTTTCTCAGATACGTTACATAATAATATGTTTGTTTAGTCAAAAACAATGATATTTATAATGGATAGTACTGTTTATGGTTGTATATTAGCAACCTATATAACATTCAAAAATATTTAACACTATTGCTTCAACCTACATTTTATAAATAGCTACCAACACCCATGTTCAACGCCAACATAATTGAGGAGGTGAATCAAATATAAAAGGTTTCAGAGCTCATTTTTGATTGGAAATCTTATAATAGTCTATTTTTGAACTGATAAATGACGAACTGCACTAGCCTGAGTTTGCATTGTTACAAATAACCACATTAGGCTTACCAAACATCTACCCAGGTTGTGGGCAACAAATACGTCAAACTAAAAATAAACTTTAGTAAAGGCCATGTAACAACAACAAACTACGAAAATCGACGTGAGGCAGAGAAAAATGCTGCTAATAGCTGATAAATAACGACACCCGAAATCCTCAACAACGTGTAACATGAGCGCGAAAACCCTTGTCTTAACGTCCTTTCTGTTCGCGTAAGAGAACGAAAGCGTGGACGCAACAAGCAATTATGGTGTTACATTATATAAAGACATATAAGAAATGCGAACTAATACGAGCATATAGACAATCTTTAAGTCAAGTTCAAATTGCCAGGTTTGTACTCAATAGTACCATTACGGCCAGGTAATCGAAAACTCAAAGTTTCTATCTCAGCAGGAAATGATATTCTGTACCACGAAAACTGGTACAGTAATACATTAGGCACCGGTTAGATAAGCTATGGAAAAAACCAAAACCATTTGCTTATCAATTAATTTAGAAGCTGAGTGACCAAAATTGTTAACAGTACTGCACGTTTTCAACAAACATCAAATGAGATTTTTAGCCCCTAGAACTAGTCGAATTGGTTAATCAGAAGTGGCATTGTTCCTAATCATACAATATTTAAAACTGACCATGAGATAACTGGAAAAATAGATATTCAGTATTTACACCGGAGCAAAGACCAACAATTGGTGAACGCGAAAATATTCAGTTCGATTGGATGGCATGTCTCAACCTTGCAGGCGTGATCACCCACAGGTAACTTACCTCTTTTATTCATATTAAATATACTGTTCTATCTCCAGCCTAAATGTGTTCTTCATCATATGTTGGTAATGTCTGTGATAGGACGAGTCAGTGTAGACAATAAGGTGACTTCCACGTAAGATCTTATAAGTTAGGTAGTCATAACATGACAAATCTACAATTTTAGGATTACTTCTATTATTATGATAGTACTAATAACGAAGTCGACCATAGTTCTATAAACCATACAGCAACAACCAGGAAATTGGTCACCTAGTATGAAAGCTAGCGAAGAACAGTGTCTGAATAAGAAAAAATCAAAACTCCGTGAAAGACAATAAGGTGCTCTACGAAAAGCAGTGGCTTATATATAAAATAAAACGTCACAAACGCTAACCTTGGTCTTAATAAAAGATCTGAGGCTATTGTCACATAAAATGCATAAATGCTTACTTACTTACGCCTGTTAATCCTCGTGAAGGAGCATAGGCCAAACATCAGCATTCTTCATCCAACCCTGTTCTAGGCAACCCCTTCCGGCTCATCCCAGTTGTTATTCATGCTTTTCATATCTACTTCTATTTCCCAAAACAATGTGTTCTTTGGCCTTTCTCTTTTCCTCGTTTCTTCAGGATTCCAAGTTAGGACTTGCCTCGTGATGAAGTTTGATGATTTGCGTAATGTATGTCCTATCCATTTCCATCGTCTTTTCTTAATTTCTTCTTCAGATGGAAGCCGGTTTGTTTGCTGATGGTATTCGGCCAATAGATGTTGAGTATTTTGCGTAGACAACCATTCATAAATACTTGCACCTTCTTGATGGTGGGCGCTGTAGTTCTTCAAGTTTCAGCTCCGTACAGTAGAACTGAAAGCCTTGAAGTTCGTATTGAAGATTCTCAGTTTGATATTGGTTGACAGACATTTGTTTTGAGTTCCATATATTCTTCAATTGTAGGAATTCGGCCCTTACTTTGCCTTTATGTCTGCATCTAAACCTCCTTGTTTATCGCTGACACTTCCCAGGTATATGAAGGATTCTACATCTTCCAGAGTTTCGCCATCAAGAGTGATTGTATTGGTGTTCTCCGTGTTGTATTTGAGGATCTTGGTTTTCCCCTTGTTTATGTTGAGACCTACTGATGCAGAGACTGCTGCTACACTGGCTGTCTTCATCTGTATCTGCTCGTGTTTATTGGATAGGAGGGCTAGGTCATGTGCGAAGTCCAAATCATCTAATTGATTCTGAGCTGTCCATTGTATTCCGTGTTTTCCCTCAGATGTCGAGGACTTCATAACCCAGTCGACCACCAGAAGAAGTAGGAAGGGAGAGAGTAGACAGCCTTGTCTTACTCCGGCCGTTGTTTGGAATGCATCTGTCAGCTGTCCTCCATGCACGACCTCTCACTGTAGTCCGTCGTATAAGTTCCAGATAATGTTAACAATCTTCTCAGGAACTCCGTAGTGTCGAAGAAGTTTCCATAAAGTTCTCCCATCTACACTGTCAAATGCCTTTTCATAATCAATGAAGTTGGTGTACAATGACGAGTTCCACTCAATTGATTGTTCGACCATGATCCGTAGTGTCGTGATTCGGTCTGTGCACGACCTGTCCTTACGGAATCCAGCTTGTTGATCTCGAAGTTGGGCGTCTACTGCATCCTTCATCCGGTTCAGCAACACTCTGTTGAAGACTTTCCCTGGTATTGACAGTAGTGTAATGCCTCTGTAGTTTTCACATTCGCTCAGGTATCCTTTCTTTGGAATCTTGATGAGGTGTCCTTCTTTCCAGTCCATTGGCACTTGTTCCTCCTCCCAAATCTTTTTGAATAGAAGGTAAAGTATCTTTCTAGTTACTTCGATGTCTGACTTCAGTGCTTCAGCTGGTGTGTTGTCAGGTCCTGCTGCTTTCCTGCCCTTGATTTGTCTGATGGCCATTCTGATTTCTTCCGCCGTTGGTGGATTGACATCTATAGGAAGATCTGTGTGTGCTGCTTCGATGTCCGGTGGATTCATTGGAGCCGGCCTATCCAGGAGTTCTTCGAAGTATTCTTCCCATTTGTTCCGCTGTCGATGAATTTCTAAAATGCATACATAGAAAAGGGTTTATGCACACCTCCACACAAAAATGCACAAAAGCGATCATACACCAAGGTAATGACAACTTTGGGTCTGACATACACTCATAGTCTCGCATCCTAGAGTAAATAGTGGGTGAAAACACACAAAATATTCACTACGTTAGAACCAACTAGTTGTACACTTTTGCACCGAACTGATAATGATCAGAAATGCGCGCTTGAACGTGACAGCAGCTCAAACTGCGGACATATTCAAAAGAATGGTGGATAAACTGGAGTATCTTAGCTAATAGATCTGTTATATTCCTTAAAGCATCTGCAGTCACTTTTTTGGGTCTAAGATATTAGAAAAGAGCTAGGTTAATCTACGAAATCAGTTACCCTCGCAACAGTTGAAAATAGGATGAACTGGTACGGACTGAAATCAAGCAGCTGGGTTGAATCTTCATATATATCGATTACAGATTACGAACGTGCCTATGGATTCTCGGTTTAATCATGGAACGAAGTATGTCTCAAATGATAAAGGAAGGTTAGAACAAAGCAGAAAGCTTGGCGGGTTATTCCTGGATGGCCTTCACTCGGTCGGTTGAAACAACAATTTATGGCCAATAAAAATGACTGTACAGACTAGACGAAATTATGCAAAATTCAAATAATAGTGTGTAAGTATTTACAAATTAAACCCACATTGGCTATTTCCACACTCCTGTCTTCAAAATGAAGAAATTCGTAATCTGAATTTGTTAAGGTGAAGCAGCGCGTTTTAGGAATGTAAGGTTTGAAGAGGGAAAATAAACGGAGGAAGTTACATTTGAAGGATTTACGTCCACATCACCATTTACATCTCCCCGTGAAAAGGAAGCTATATAACAAGTCTCTGTTCTTATTCAAGCCTCAAATTATGTTTGGAAACCGTACAGATAAGTTACAAGACTCACTAATACAACTCAGGGTATATCACATCATTGTTAACAAAATTGTCCATTGATTATAGATCGCAGCAAAGCAAGTAATGCGCTTCTCTGAAAAGGCAGCAAGGGAATCTGAAGTCCAAAAGCAAAAACTAAAAAAGGTAAACCATAGTTCATTGTCTAGAATTATGTGATCTAAACATTTGTTTTTTTATAGGCTTTAACATCTGGAAATATTGAGTGTGGTAGGATTTATGCTGAAAATGCTATTAGAAAACAGAAAGAGTCCACTAATTACCTCCGGATGGCATCTCGTTTTGATGCTGTCCAGTCACGCGTACAAACTGCTCTCACAATGAATCAGGTATATTTCTCTCGGCATTGTAATTTCAGGTGGTAAAAAATATTGGTTCTGTCACGAATGAACTTGAAAAAGTTATGCGCACCATGGATTTGGAGAAACTCGAAAAGGTCATGAGTAAATTCGAGTCTCAGTTTGAAGATCTCGATATTCGTTCTTTAACTATGGAAAATTCCATGAAAAATATATTTACTCTTTCAGCTCCTGAGGATGAGATTAATTCGTTGATAAAACAGGTTAGTTGAGGCCAATCGTTACATTGGTGTATTATGACTTGCCAACTTGTGTTTTCATTGTGAAGCATTTCAATACGGGTAGTTTGTTAGTCGCATTACAGTCTTGGTCCGCATCCTAGTCTTGCATCAGTTTGTTTCAGTAGGTATGGTTAAATTACTGCTTTAGATATTGAAAGTTTTAATCATGGAGAAAATTTTAGCGTGTTGTGAGATTCTAAATTAGTCCAGAAAGTACATAATTCAAATGCCTTCATACATTTAGAAAAATCCGTCTTATTCACCCTAGAAAACATATTAGCTCTGTTGATAATATGTCTTTAGTTACATCCCAATGAGTAGAAAATCATATTTCTGACGTTTCGTGACTTGATGTAAGCCATTTCAGAGTAAATAACCACTTAACACAAGGTTAAATAGGTCGAGCCTTGGTATAGATGCATAATAACTCTGGTTGCTACATCACATCGTCCCAGCGTGGTAGATTTGCGGGAATTAAGATCTCAGCACCAGTGATTATAAAAATTTATAACGGTTTAAGGAAGAGTAAATTTGCAGGGTAAATTATTAAATAATTATGAAACTCGGGACATATAGGATGGTAAGATGTGAATAAACATCTACCATTGCAACCTATTTTGAGCTATATTGTCCGGTGTTTCCAAACACTGGTCGTGACAATCACGTTGACTTCAAACAGGTAGTCTTCCCTCAGCGTGACAAATCAGTGGTCAGTGACTTCATGGATCAATCCAGCATTCTGCTTTTGCTTTCAGCAAGTTTCTTTCAACCTACTACTATCTTAGTCAACATCGACGATAGTAATTCTCCCTTGTTTCAATGGTCCCTTCAGTTTATTTATTCATTTGAACACAAAAATTGGTATGAATGGGCACCAAATACATATGCACCACACAATAACAATGAGGTTGTGAAGAAATAGAAAATGTAAAGTACGTATAATAAAAGAACAACAACGGACAGGAATTATGGTGAGTGAAATGATAATGAGAGAAACAGCTTAGGAGAAATACAACCAGAATAAGTTACGTTTACTTTTATGAAGAAAGTAAAAGAGTTACGGCAGAGTCGCCATTGGCTTCTATTCTGAGCCATATCTGATAACGTCTCTAACCACTGTGTTGCGCCGTCTCTAGGACCCCAACCAGGAAGTCATGAAGGACCAAAAGGAACCAGTCCTGTACAGCTTTCTTTCATACCACGACACCGTGTCAAACTGACCACCTCTTGCCTTTTTCTAACCAGTCCCAGAGTCGGCAAATAATGCACGACGTGGAACTCTCTGGCACGACATTCATCGAACATATCCAAGTCACCAAAGTCGATGTTTAGAGATGGTGACACCAATCAGATTATCGTCTCTGTGCCCGAACACACGATGCCGAACCTCTGCATTACTAACATGGAGTTGCCACTGGATGTCAACAATCGTTCGGAGATGATCAAACACAGAGAGTCGTCTAACATCCTCAACTCGGAGAGGCCAGGTTTCACAAGCATAGAGCGTTGTAGATCCGACCTTCTACAGCCAGACTGATATCACGAAGGCGCCAAAGGTGGCCCAGATTGGCATAAGCCACTCTGGCTTTAACTATACGTGCATTAATCTCATCACTCACACCCCCACCAGCACTTATGCAGATACACGAACTTCTCGACTACGTCTATCTGCTCACCATCCAGAGTCAGTACAGGATTAGAATCCCTCCAGTCTTGTAGAAGTACTTTGCACTTCGAAGGTGCAAAGCATATACTATACCTACGGACACTGATTGCCAACTGATTAAGTGAGGATTGCATGGCTTAGGCATTATCGCACAGTAAGACAGTATCATCCGCATACTCAAGGTCGAGAAGTCTTTCTCCAGGCAACAGATGCACACCGCCATTACTTACATCTATCAGAACTGTTTCCAGAATGTCATCGATGGTAAAGTTGAAGAAGAATGGTGAGATTGGGCAATCCTGCCTAACCCCACTGCTCAAATGGAACAATGGAGAGAGGTGGTTGTATGCCCTCACTCTGCCTGAGGTGTTTGTGTATAGGGCTTTTAGGATGTTTACAAACTTATCAGGCATATCCTTCTGCAATAGACAGTTCCAGATAATAGTCCTGTCCAAGGAATCAAAGACGGCCTTAATATCGAGAAACACTACGATTGTTGGCTTGTGATAAGTATGACGATGTTCTGACATTTGGCGGAGGGTGAAGATGTGATCAATACATCGTCCACCAGAACGAAAACCAGCCTGCTGCTCGCAAGCCAATCTTTCTCTGGTTTCGAAGTATGACGGAAGTCAATAGTCTGAACGCAATTCGAAGTAGACTTATCCCTTGACAGTTGTTACAAGAACAAAGTGAACCCTTTTTCGAGATAGATACAACTATTAAGTCATTCGACGATGTTGGAACACTGATTGCCAAACATATGCAAATAATTCAGTCTGTTCCATAACCAGAGAGTTGCCATCATCTTTAATAAGGCTCGAAGGTAAGTCGTCTGGGTTTGATTATTCGTGGCGCTCCATGAGCTGGAGTTTCTTGTAGACTTGCGCCTCGTTAGGTGGATCAGTCGTCGCAGGCCATGGAGGGCAGGACAGTCTGATCGAAGTTTCCGGGGCAGCCGACCAGTTGGACTGCTTCACGATAAACCTTGCCCATCATCTAAGACGTCGGTAAATGTTAGTGATTGGCATCCCGTCATCTTCGCAAATCGTTTCACTCACACTAGACTTCTTTCTGCAAGCGACTCAGATGAGTTTAAAGAGCTCCAGTGGTTACCGGAAGCAACTGCTACTTCCAACTCGTTGGCATGCTCCGACCAAAAGTCGTCTCGGTCCTTATGCAAGCTTGGTACAATTTCATTACGTAATAGTCTTCGTTTATAGTCGGACACGCGGTCACCTGGAGTAAACCGACGTGCTACAAGGAGTTGTAAGAAGCCTGAAAAAACAGTGTTTATGCGCTGAACTTTTCACGAAACTGCCAACGGATTTACCCACCGTTTTCATTCCATCACGCGATTGCGACCAATGCTCATCTATAATTTTCGGTGGGACGGCAGCTAGTCTTGAACTGAGCTCAGTTTGATATTTAGTTGCAACCAATTTACCAATATCAATCTGTTGGCCACTAGAACGCAAGGTAAGATTAGTACAACCAAGGGAATGATCAAAGTCCAGATAGGTACTACAAAAGGAGAAGCAATCTTGTACACAACCACGCCAGCTTTAGCTGATATCGATGTGGTCAACCTGAATCCAGGTTAAAGACGCCCGGTAGCCAGAAGCCATGTAATTTGTGCAGTTGTAGTAGACGGTCACTTATCTGACGTGCGATCAACAAGTTCCCATAGGTCACCTAAACGACCATCTGTGCGTAGACACCCTATCCGAGCATTCAAGTCTCCTGCTAGTACTACAATGTCTAATAAACTCATCCTTGGTCGCATCCGAGCTTCGCTCTGTCGAAGCATAAGCGGAGATGATGAAGAGACATCGTTTCTCGTACCGATTTATTTGCACTTTGATTGAGCTTTCGAATCTAACAGTATATAACCGACTGTCAATGTGGATCCAATCGGCCATTACTGTCTCAGCTCTGATGCTTAATATGACACTAACACCTGAAAAATCAAACGAACATGCTGCAGGGTCCCCGGATGAACGCACGTGAAACAAGCTTTTGGAAGCGACAGATAGAGAGAGAATTTGTAGTACGCCACTAGAGTTATTAATACGGGTCTCGGATAGACAACCTTTATAAATGTTGAAACCTTCTAAGGACATTTATATATTTGAACAGATATTGGTACAAATGGGCACCAAATATACATGTGCCACACAAGTCACTTGATTTTTGTGTGGGCTGTGATACTGTCCGAGTTCCCAGACTGAAGAAGGTGGTTTTCGTAGTGGGTCACACCCGGAGCCTTCGACCTAAAGGTTTGGTCCACAAGGCAGTGGAGCAACGTCTCATGGTAGCCGGGGACCAATGATTGGCTCATACGCCATTCCATCAGGCGCATTCGGGACATTGCTGAAGTGGCATGGAACGACGGAATGAGTTATGTCGGGGTTACAATCATAAGGTACCAGGCAAAGGTGGCAAATCACTTGTTAAGGTTGTAACTCTTAATTGAACTAAGGAGTGTGGACGTGGTTTACGTGTGCCTAACCAATTCGTGCCTTGATTGGCACGTGATGGTTATCAATAGTTGATGACTTAGAGTAACATGATCCAGAATCGTTCACATTGGAGATGTATTCAGACATTTTCTTCTTTTACATTTTGCTGCCACATTACACAAGTAACTAATTATTTATGTTATATGCATTTTATCTACTAATGTGGAGCAGAGACTTTTACCAACGTACATCTGTACCAAGCTCTATGTTGATGACGTCTGTCTGGTCATAAAGAGTTTAGTATTCATTCAGTCCTAAAAACTACTATAATGATTATTTATCTAATTAGTATGCAGGTGTATAATTGTAAATTGCAATGTTAAAAGCAAGTATTCTTGGAAACTATTCATGATTGACTTCCGTAAGTCTTACTGTAAATCCCATTGTCATAAAACCATATAGATGTTGGCCATCAACACTAATCCGATTTCGTTTCCAGGTCCTCCAAGAAGAAATATTTTCCCGGTGTGAGAGGCTTAGATATTTTAAATATCCACATGCATTCAGTTGTGCTCAAATTCTTTCTGTTTATTGTCAATTATCTTTGTATCCTAGATTTTGTCATATTGTTGTAGATTCTGCTCCATTTGCAACCAGTGTTAACAATTTGAGTTCAAGAAAGCACCTCTATCTCCTGAAACTACTTTCGAGTTTATGATGAAGTTGTCAGTTTTCTAACTCTTAATCAATATGTAGAAGTAAACATACATTTTTTATCAATTAAGGAATTTAATGTATTGTCAGTTAGTGAAACAGTCGAAAAAATAGATTTGTGAGCTATCGTCAATCGGCTAGCTGTGGGGAGGGGAGCAAATCTACGAACATCCATTCACTACGAACCAGCTGATTGAACAGAAAACTGGCACTCGGCTTAGAACTTTAAGTGAATTATAAGAAGCTCTATTTAACTAAGATTAGAGGAGAAACAATCAACCATGTCTAGTTAATTGCTTAGATACCTAAGGTTGGTGGTTCATATCTATTAAACAAGTTGGAAGACGTACTGGTTTACTAGCTAATTAGGCGTAGTTCTGACGTTCTGGCTCAGGTCTCTGATCTTTACATTCACCTCGCATTTACGTACCACTTTCAGTTGTTTTCCATTTTGAGTCCTGTTTTCACAAGTTCTAGGATCAGCCAATAAAAAAGCTAGTTTATAAAAAGGGGTTCTATAAAAAATATATATCATGATATTAGTGACTTTTGGCTTACCGTAAATCTTTAGTCGGTATCGAAACGACGATTTAATTTAAATACCGCCTGAAACCTTAATTAACCCAGTTCTGTTATTTTCCATCAAAAATGTAGGGTTCTACCTTTGAATAAGCAGTCTCACTTGGTACTTCTACCGCTTAAATCATTTGCCGTAGTAGTTTATTTACAATACTGATTATCGTTCCCCTTTCTTTTATCTAAAAACTGCCATATTGTATTGTCCACAATTTCACACTGTTCCATTGTATGGATTTGTTTTTCAGTCAGTGTGAACAAAAAGTTGACTCTCTCACTAATTTGCTCGATAAGTTTTCAAAAATACATTGTTTTCTGAACTTTCGGACTTCATTAGTTCTATGATTGTTCCTTGAATTTTACGTAGGTGGCAGAAGAAAACAGTCTTGAAGTTTCACACGCTATTGCAGATGCTCCTGTTGTTGGTGGTACACTTTCCGTTAATTCAGAGTCATCTAGGGATGCTGAAGATGACGCTCTTACAAGAAGGTTAGTTGTATACTTGTGTAGTTTCTCTCACACTAGCGTGTGTGAACCCATCCAGCATTCGCGTTATGTACATAACTATATGTTTTCAAATGTGGTCTTAACTTTTTGTGTATTGGGTCACTACTAAGTATTTATAGAAATATTTTGGAGTGACCTTATCTCCCAGGTTTAAATAATTTGCAGAATTTCTTATAATTACTCGTCACATTAGTCGTTGTTGATAAACTTAAGTTGTATCAAATTTTTTTCTGGAAAATCTCATTTAATGTTTATTAGGTGGGTGCATTCTGCCTTTAAGTCGAAGGCTCCGGGTGTGACCCACTAAGAAAACCATCTGCTTTAGTCTGGCCACCTGGGCAGTTTCACAGCCCACACAAACCAAGTGACTTTTGTGGCACATATGTATTTGGTGTCCCAATGTACTAATATTTATGTGTTCAAATTAATAAAGTAGTACATAAGTTCTTGCTAATAAATAATGGTTTTTTTATATTCTTTTGATTACATGTTGACTACAAAAACTTATAGCAATTCACCTCTCAATTTTACTTAAGAGTAACATTGTATAATATTCATTCTTACTCGAATCGCTAATAGTTTCGCTCATTGATTTATTTTTCTTGAGTCACTGTCATTAGACTTTATACCAAGGTATGATGCAGTAAAATATGTTAGCATTAAATAAACTCCCCATTTTTCTGTCGGTCAGCGTTATCTAACCTGCCAACGAAAAGTCCCCATTCGCCACCCAGATGACTCTCCTGTCTCCCCAGACGTCTGACCTGCTCATTTAAATATATTGCTAGCACTATAATTTATTTTGAACACTGTCTTGAAATAATTTAACCGGTGATTGGACTGGTCCTTGATTGGACCCGTGTTTTAATCTGCCGGACGGTAGGCAAAGATGACGAAAAGACAGTTTTGTGTGTGGCTTTTTTGATCTAACAGCACATAAAAGAATGTTAGTGAGGATCCATCTGATTAGTATTGCTTTTGCTCTAATGCTTAGTGCAAGACCAACTGACAGCGGTACCTCATGGGAATGTCATAGAGTCCTCAGATGGACGCACGTAAAACTGGTGAACGTGTAGAACTTCTCTAGAGTTTTGAATACAGGTCTCGGATATACAGAAAACGTCGATGTTCAAACTTTCAAATCACATAGCCAGAGTCAGTCAGTCAGTAACAACGTAGAACTTCGTACGTACGTACATCAGTTCGAGTTGCCACACCACATTAGCACAGAGATGCAGTTGTCGATTCAAATCCCGTAGTGGTAGAGGTAATAAGAGTATAAGCAGTAATCGGGAAGATTAGGGTTTGGAGATGTTATTTAAAGAGTATAATCCAGTGAAACAAATTTGGAAAGAGGAAAAAAGGGACATGAAGAATTCAGAAGATTAGAATTTGGGAGAACACAGAGAGTGGATGCACCTGCGCCATTGCAAACGATTTTGAGCCATGTCATTCAGGGTCTCTAACCATCGGTTGCTATCATCTCGTGGACCCCAACCAGGTAGTCTACACCTACCAACATGACTCAGTCCACTTGTCAGTGACTTCATGGACTTGTGCCATGTTTTGGTTTGGCCGCCCCTAGCTTTCTTCCAACCTACTCCTATACCACTGAACATAGCACGTCGAGGTAGTCGGTCGTTGGGCATACGTAACACGTGTCCCAGCCATCTCAACTGATGAAGTTTCACTACTTCATCAATTGATTTGCCATCCTTACCTAGTACCCGATCCCTGACGACTGTGTTACTTACTCGATGGTCCCATGATATACGAGCAATGTTTCAAAGACACCTATGATCGAATACTAGTAGCCTACGAATATCCTCTACTCTTACCGGCCATGTTTCACTGTCATAAAGTAGGACGGGACGAACTGCTGCGCAGTAAACACGTCCTTTGGTTGATAGACAGATATCTCGCCTACGCCAGAATTATCTGTTTTCGTATGTGCACTAATGTGGGAGCGTTGAACGAGTCCATTTCTAGTGGCACACATGGTTTCATTCAAGTTGATTCCGAATTCATAATCGGTGGTAGCGCTCAAACTTTCAGTCAGTCATTAAATTGGGTTCGTTTATTCAGAAAAAGACTTTCACCATTGATGAGCTCTTGTGTGATTTGGCAAATTAAACTAAACAAAATGGAATAGAAAAATGGATCAAAGTAAAACAAAAACATTTGAGTTAAATGTTTAGTAATTATCTTTTGAATTAGTAATGAATCAAAGTATGTAGATCAGTTTCTTCGTAATTATTGTAGGATTTAATTTGTCCTACAGATATACTACTAGAACTGTAAACGCGATACAGGCGACCTCAGAGGCTATTTGAAAGCTAGTCAGAACAGGGACAACTTGGCTTTAAACTTTATCTGTTTCTAAACGTAAAAACAATTAGATTAGTACAATTAAAGGAATTATAGTCATTAAGTGGAATGCACAAACATACCGACCAGTATTGCGTGTCTTATCGAAATGAATAAAAATTGAATCACACTTATGTAATAGGATAATAATGTCCTTGAATTGGCAGGTCACATGCAACAGGGATAGTCTACAGATACATCAGACCAGATTGACATGGCGTGCGCCTAAACAACGATTTGATTGGTTAGTTATGGGTTACTTTTCTAAAGCCTAGGCCGAACCAGATAGTATTATTAGGGACACATTCCCTGATCCATTGATATGGAAGTTATAATCCACACGGTAGTGAAGCAGCGCTAGCAGATGCCATCCCATGGTAGTCGATGGCCAAGATTGGACTAATGTACCATTTAATCCCTCAGGATCCTGGGGCGTATATAAACCATTGGTTAGGAATTCGGGCTTAACATCACTCCTAGGTAGACTGTTCGTATCCACCAATCCGGGTTAAGCATCAGACACTCTTTTCATCTTCTCTTCTGTAAACTACACCCCTGCCACAAGACAGTGAGTATAAAAGGCAGTGGCTATAAACGAGTGGTCATATGAAAGTATTTTCAAGGGAAGAATGGACTTCCCACCATCGGCCGTATCAGGGCTTTAAGAGACGGGGTTATCAAAATATCGTTGGGAATTATAGGGAATATCTTTTTAAGTGGGTCTAAGTTGCATAGACACATTATTTTATTGTCTTCTTTGAAGTCATGTACTTTTCTTCTCTTAATTTCATTCCTTTTACCATTTCACCTCCTTTCCCTATCATTATCAATGTAATCATATTCACTAATTTAGTGTCATTTTCATTGATTCTTTCTCGCTGGATTACTTTAAGTTGTACTACATCTTACGTCCTTTACATTTTTATGTTCAATGTTAAATTTGAAGGATATTACCTTTGAATTTGTGAGGCGTGACAGGGATGCATGTATGTGATCATTGGTAATTCTGAGTCATTGGTTACATATGAATACAAAATTGGATTTGTAGTTGGACAGTGTTGTAAACTTGCACAAACCTAGTGATTGGAACATGTTTGTTACTTACACAGATGCTTTGCCTACTTGTTGTACGACATTAGTCGTAGTAAACGTAAGTTAGAAGAAGCGTTGTTTTAGTCAAACAAAGATGTGGTGTTGATCCACATTGTCTCTAGTTTTTAAGGTTAAGTGACCGCTACCAAAACTAGGATCTTCAAGATACTTGAAGATAATAATTGAAAAACTAGGTTTCATAGAAGGAAACTAATTTTCTATCATTCGGTTGAATCCCACTTTTATTTACTGGTGTTAATTGTAATAACTTAAATCGATGCATTGACTTGTAGTCGTTTACTTTGCGTCATCTGTCATTCTGTAGTATGAACATAGATTATCCGATAATGTTTGACAAGCTTTTGGTTGTTTTTATGTCCGTTGAATAAGATATTAAGTTACGCGTTATTGATGTAGATTAAACAAATCAACGAATCTCATGAATTATGCGGATATCTCTTGTTTTCGCCTCTCTCTTTAAATAAAAGATTAATGTCATTGAGTTTAATCTACATGTCGTTTAGACTCTTAATAGTAAATAGTACGTTCTAAGTTATCCATATTATTGGTAAAAGCGGCACATTTTTGTCCTAAGCTGTGCTTCTTTTTTATAATTAAATGTGAAAATTCATTCCTACTATATATATAATATAGTCAGCTCATAATTTCACCAATATTTTTATCATCAAGGCATAACTTGATTAGGTAAGAAAACCAATCAAAAACATTTTAATAATAATAACACTGTGTTTATAATATTTACTTTGCTTTCTTTTTTATGAAAATAAAGAAATAAAACTTCGAGATCATTAGTTTCGTTTGTTACTTTTCCCTTTCCATCCATAATCGTACTTAGATATGTAGTTTTATGTATCATTGTTATATCCCGTTCTTTTTAATTTTACTAAACGGCTGTGATCAAAAACGTACAATATGTTTTTTTATTACATGGTAAAATAGTTCACATGAATCACATCATAAGATAACAAAGATCATTACTAACTCGGTTATTTCTTTAAATTTTGTGAATCAACATCAGCATGTGGTTACATTTTTGTTTTTCCTACCTCTTCAATACAATGCTAATGAACATGAATATTTTACGTTTATAATGCTTTATTTTGTTTGCATTTAAATTTTAAACGTTTTTCTAGCTACAAATAATTACATATCATTGAGATAATGATTCGAGCAATGTTAGAGCACTGTTGAAAACCGGAGAGCATTGAAGTTCCATTTCGTCCTGGCATAGGACTCCTCAGAAGTACATATCGACTACACCACACGCAAGACTCCAACCCCAGGACCTTCGGTGTTAATGTCTAACTGACCAGTGAAGCTAAACCGTGTCGAATGTGAGGTAGTTACGAACAAAAAGCAATGGAAAACGGTCGCGCAATATCGTGAGTTGATTGAAGATAGGAAATAACTTTTTCGGATGCCGACTCGGTAGTCTAGAGGCTGTGTTCGCACGCGAGCCCAGAGGTCCTGGGTTCGAGTCTTGTACAGGAAGTCGTAGACGTGCACTGCTGAGGAATTCCATACACGGATGGAACAGTCGTTTATTGCTTTCAGGTTTTTAATGGTGGTCTACCACTGATCGGTTCATTATCTCAATCTTTTTGAGCAATCTCTGGAACTCCTCACTGATAATAAATAAGTGCTTATCATCTATCCATTGCACATTCATTTGACTGTCGTTGTCTTTGAATTAAGTTAATCGGATGACTGATGCCATTTATTTGGCACAAAATGAGATGGGACATCTCGTAAATTATGTAAATTGTACTCTAGCTGTCAGCTGCTACACTTTTGGTTAGTGATACTGTTAGGTTATATGGAACAAAATGTGTTTGAACTCCCGATTGTTGTTATCGGTGTTGCGATGTTTGGCTACTGTTATCATGGGTTTTACAGTTTAAACATCAATTCGTGAAACGGGTCAATATAACTATCAACATTTTGAACTACAAATGTCTAATGCTAATGAATGTTTCATGTAATCAAATGCTCCAATACACCCCACAAATACATTTTCATAAAATCATTTTTAAATAATTATGTGTTTATGTAGTGTCAGTTATTATGCCAAGCCCATATACCTTATTCAAGCTTTCGGACATCCCATTCTATTCATTTTACTTGAGCCATACATTGACCTTGTTATTTATTCGTTTATCAATCTAGACTGTTTTTATATGGGCGTATATGTGTGTGCCCTTCTTATTCTATTAATCACATGTCTGTAGCTTTATTTTGTCTGACTATAAATATTGAGTAACTCTTGACTAAAATGGAGTTGGCTTCCCAGCCATCCTCCCCGCGCGTCATTTCGCTTTGTTCTATCGCATTCACTTTACATACAAAATATATGTATTCAATGGCCATTCTCGTTAATTGACTTATTTAATTCGGTTATTGGCTAACGCGATTTAAGTCGATGATAAACGAGAATCAGCGATAACAAACATCTATACGATCTAATGGGAGTCAGATCCAACGGCCACTAAATTTATAAACTTTCATTAAAGTAGAACAGTGATTTTCTAACATTTCTCGGTCTCCTGAGAGTTGCTTCTTCAAAAAATAATGTGCAAATTTCCTGAATTTAGAGTAGTGAATGGAAGAAACTGAATCATATTTTTTGTTAATTAAGACAACATAGTTCACTGTTACTTACTGATTCATATTTATGGCTTTTTACTTCATATAAGTGGTCTGTAATTTCTGTAAGATGCATTGTTACCATATTTACATCACGACAACACAAACGTGTCATCCTTAGTTTTAAAGGTTGTTACACTAAAATCCTTTCTCGCTCATTATATTTCGCTAGTTCCAGTAATTATAACCATTACTTCTTTGCTACACGGAATCAGTACTTTACTGTAAATTCAAAATAGTTAATTTGTTATATGTTTGATTAGATTTAACGTTTGTTCAGCTCTTCATTTGTATGTAAAGTCAATAACACTCAGTATTTTCTTCATTTTGATGGTATATATATTATATATATATATATGCTATGGACAAAATCCATGTATTTAACTTTATTGAAAACAAAAAGATCTAACCAAACGTTTATTGTATGGTAGTAAAATTTTGTGGGTTGCGTACCCAACAGTTATGTAAAGCTAAATAATGTTGGTAGTTTTATCTTATTCAGACACATTTTTATGATTTTTCTGATGAAATTTGGTATGGTGTAACTTAATGACGTAGCACTTTATCTCCATAGTCTAACATCGGACACTAATCTTAAATTTCCATTGTATTTAATACTTTATATTTTCACCTCACATTATACTCGACTCTTCATATTCAGTTAGCTGGAGTTGACTGATATTTAAGTAATCCTGTTATTCCATTCATCTTGGATTTATTATTAACTTTCAGGTACTGTAATTTGTGTACTTCTCAATCTTTTTAGAGGCCATTAATCGAATGTGGGTAATCTTTTCAGATGTGTTGTCTTGAGTTTTGTTTTTGAAAGCTAATAGTTACCTTTATTAGGTTGTGTATTCAGACTATAACATGGCCACCACCTCTTCATAAATCTTTATTTATTTTTATTTCAGGCTTGCTGCACTCCGTCAGTAAAACCTGTCAACTTCAGTGTTTTGTTGCTCCATCTGGTCAATAATAGTTTATTCTGATTATTTTTCATCGTTAACAGGTTACTCACAAGCTCATCTTTGTATTTTTGCTCTTTCTAAACTTTACTTTGAAGGATATTTTCTCCTTGAAATTAGTTGTACAAACCCAAATGGACCTATTTCGTTTCACTTCTCAAAACGTTTATAATATAATGCACCGTCAGATTTCTTGAAGATATTATATATTTTGCATTGCTCGCTTATCACTGAAATGATTTTGTGAATAAAATGGACTATATGTCTAATACATTTACTAGTATCATTTATTAATTGTTACAATCATTTAATTTTACTTCCAGTGCAGTGTTTTGTTTTTCTAGTGGCGTTATGTACAAACTAGCCCGACTGTGGTTAATTATTGTTGACCTATTAAACAACCAGTTCGCTTAAATTTCACTTTTCACTGTGTTTTATGGCGTAAATGAAACATATTTATAATGAGTAACGGCGTAAAATCTTACTTGTTACAATTACATGTCTCTGTAGACTTAGTTATTTACGTAAGTGAAGACAATTTCAAACTTGATGTGTATCTCGGTATCATTTTTAGTTTTTAGGTATTCTAAAGTCATGTCATACATATTGTGTTTACTGACATGAGTCTAGGTTGTTCTGAAAATAATAAATACACGGAAAACTTGTGTCTTGGGAAGCTTCTTTTCGATATTTATCAGTTTCAACGCTGTGTAAATTGTGATTAAAAGGTGCAAAGTAGTGTAATTATAATTTTGCTTGTATATTGAGTATTATTGTACTTCCCACTTGACCCAACCCTCTAAGCAGCCTCTTCTGAAAGCGCGGATCATCACTGAGATAGGAGGCTGTCAACGATAACGAAGCACCAATTTAGAGAGCTACTGATTGTGGCTCTGAGTCTTCTTGGTTGGTGTCTGCGCGGTTATCGTAACCAGTAGTTGATATTGCTCAAAATCAATTTCAATGGCACATGTGCGTTCCTTCTTTTTCGCAATACACATCTTGAGTTTGAAAATTGTCTCATAATTTCCTATTCCACGAGTTCATTTTTTAATCATTTAGTCTATTTCCAATCTTTTCTACTATCAGCGATATTACTACTTTTATCTTGATAATTTCATCGCTGTGTATTGATGTGGTGTTGCAACTCGAACTAAAGTACGTATGTGCCCAGTCCTACGTTACTGATTGACTGGTGGATGGATTGAGTATAGAAGTGAAAGATCTCTATACTCAGGAATAATAGCCAACGCTTTCAACTATGATGACTAATAGGTAAGAAAGTGTATACTAGTGGAAAGCTAAGCACAAAAGTTTATGAATTCAAACTGCTCCATTCAACGATACAAATGAAATACGACAAAAGTAAACAAGACAAGCTAATAAAAAAGCATAGTAGTCGTTTAATACTCAGATGCTGAGTGACCTGGTATCCAAATAATACATCCTAACCACGGAATTAACGAAATATTTACTTCCAGTTTTCTTTTATCAATAGTAACCCGCCACTTCAATGAGGACTAAAACCACACAAATTGCTTCATTATAATCAGTTCTAAGAAATAACAACGGCTACCGTCTGTCGCAGCTTTGCTCAGATAACCATCTATTTCTAGAAAACACCGATTTTGAACATAAGGCGAAACTTCGTCTGACGGCTTCCACGATCGACTCATTGATGGACTAGAATAAATCACATTGCTAATAACCATCGTTGGAGGAGCTCGATAGAAAACTCGCTCATTTTGGAGCACATACTTTGACTCGGATCATGCTCTAGTTTGAGGACATATTTGTCTGGTTAGGGAAAATCAACGGTGTCTACGGAATTGAAGATGCTCGGAAACTCATTCCATCTTGCTCCAAACACAATGAAGGAGCTTAAGCGTTTGCTGGTAAAAAAGGCCTATGTAGTGATCGCAAGCAGAAGTGGGTAGCAAAAGCGGAATAGATGAAAAGGGCGGCTGCAATAGGTAACTGTTTAAACTTACCAAAGAAGCGGGTGTTTATGATACAACTTATTAAAACTATCTCGTAAACAGATGATTATTATTCACTTACAATCCAGAAGTTTGAACCGAAGAGGAGAATAATTTAGGGAATAGTTCAACTGGTCTTCGGCCACGCACTATCTACAAGCAAACTGATGTAAGTCCTCCATCTCTTAATAAGGCTGAGAAAGCTATTAACGGTCTGTAGCGAGGAAGAGCAGCAGAGCCTGGTGAATTATTTTTTTAAAGGACGGTAGTCCAGTTTTAGCGGTTAGATTAGCTAAGATCTGGTAACAACTTGGTTCTGTGTTCATACTTTGGATTAGTCTGGACAATAATTCGGGTCCAAATTCTGGTTCTACAGAACAAAGGCGTACTATGGAAACTCGAAGCAAAAGACCGAGGGAAAATGACGAATTGGACGGTAAAATTTCCAGAGCTGTTTGTGGTATGTTTGACGTTAATGATGATAAATGTGATGATGTTAGTATTAATAGTATGTCCTCTAGTCAGCTTAGTACTTCTAGATTAAAGTTAGGTAAAGCATTACTGGGGAAAAGAAATTTAGAAAAAAGACCTGAATTAGAACGGCAACTTAATATGTTAGATCTCCAAGAAGAGGTTAATATCGCTGAATTAGAATGTAAGGCCATCGAGAACGATGAACAACTACCCGTAGATATATGTGGGATAAATGCTAAAGTGGAAAATTATTTGGATTGTGATACTGGGTGTAATAATCACTCAAGGGAGGTATGTAACATCTCAAAAAGCGATTGGGTTGAGGAATCGAAGGACACATTACATACAATGGTTGATAATATGGTTTTACGTAAATTGATATGATATATTTTGATGGACAACCGAGTCAGTACCACCGGTTTACTAGTCAGTTTACTAGCATTATCGAGAGTAAACTGTCCGATAAGGGCCAATTGTTGTCGTATTTATTATACTACTGTAAGGGAAAGGCCAAAATGGCTATTGAAGCTAGCATTTCATCGCCCATTCATTTGGGTCGACTATCTGTAAATCGCAAATAAACTTTGGTATCTAAGTGGAGTTTGGTTCTATTGTTAATTTGGGTTCGTGAATTGCAAATAGACGATATGCCGTACTTCAATAAAGGGAACGAGCAAAAACTGGGACGTGACTTAGTCCATAAGAAAAGATAAGAATCTTACGACAATCAGTTTAATTAAGTGTCTAAAATATTAACAACAATACTTCGACGTCTACCTAGAGCTCGTTAAAAGTAAGCTAGAAAGAACCAGGCTGGTTTTCAATCTGGACGTGAATGTATGGACGAAATATTCACCCTTCTGCAGTTTCTGGAACAGCGACGTAAGAATCAAATTGTATTCCTCGACTCCTAGGCGGCGTTCGGCTCTATTGACCATGAGGTTCTGTGGCACTGCCTGTTGTTGGAAGGGTTACCAAAGAAGCAACTTGACCTTGTACAGGTTCTCTACACAAACACTACTCGTCGAGTCAGGATTTATGGCGAACTATAACTAAGGCTCGTTCCCTTAGGTGGTGTACGTCAGGGTTACTCGTCCTTCCCATTTCTGTTTAAGTTTGACATCAACATACTTTTAGAGATAACCTACATCAACCAACTTTCTAGGAATTGATCTTCTGCCAGGAGGTCCACTTGCTGACTTAAGATACGCATATAATATAGTTCTGTCTAAAGACATTAACAATATGCAGCCTTCTGACTACCTTAAATAAAAATGCAAACATGTTTGGAATGCGGTCCGCTCCTTCCATATCCAAAATGTCATTTCAGGATTGCCCTGCGCCATCGCCCAAATTAATGGTAGGGACTGAAGTAGTTGGACGCATCGACCGCTTCTCTTATTTTGGGAGTCTCATCAGTCCTGGTCCGGTATCTCGAGGACTTTCAGCACGGATTAGGAGCCTTGACTGGTTTTTGGCAGCTCGATTCACGCAGTGTCTCTTAGTAGACTTCTTAGTCCCTTGAAATGACGCTAGATACTAAGCAACTAATCTTTCATGCTCAAATAATAATCTAGTTCCAGCATCGCGAAAAAATTGTTATACGACCTTACGGAGTAATCTTTAGTAAAATCATCTAACCAAGCCGCACACCACCAGACAATGTTGACTGTTTTGAAGAGGCCTATGATCAAATATTTATACGCAATATCACCCTGTCGTAGCTCTTGTTTTCCACCATGTACAATTAACCTTCAGTTACTAGAACCAAGTGCTGTTTTCTGATAAGTGTACCAGACTTGGAGTGACGTCCTATTCACTGGTATTCGACAATCCCTCGCACTATTTGGAGGTGATGACTTAACGTGAAACGCCAGCCATATGTTTAAATAATTGTGCGTAGAAGATTCCTATACCTTTACTCGATCAGTGCTCAGGAACCAGAGTCTTAACTCTACTTACTTAATATTACCACTCGTACTAACATTTCTCAGTTTGAATCCCAGTACACCACAATCAACCTTATGCCAGTTGCTGATCTGGTTTTGCGACTTAGGTGACCACCAGAATTTTGCGTAGACTGGACCTCGTACTTCGGAACACAAAGCACAGGGAATGTGACTAACCACTCGAAAAGTATATTTAGTAACCACAGAGCGAGAAAACTAATGAATCAAAAATACCTCATAACAAATTGAGTACTGGATTCGATTTGACAGAGCGTTTACAGCCCCAAATATGAAACCCTGAGAACCAAGTACGGATAAGACTGGTCAAGATCTATAATTGTCAAGATATAAATGCATATCTATTCATATAAAAATATAGTTCGTCACACTAAAAATCTTCATCAACAGAAAAGTTATGGGTTGATTCGCCCCTCGCTCGAGACATGACACCTGCACGTTGATATTCACCAACTCGCTTCTCAAAAAAGTTTGTCTTTCCTTCGATCGATATATTTTCCATAAAGTCAAAAGGATTGTCAGAATGATACATCTAAACGAAAACGATTAAAAGAAAATTTACAAACCTTTTCATAACCAAGTTCAACTAGTAGCCTGTCTGCGATAAATTCAATGTACTGGCACATCAGTTTGCAATTCATTCCAATTAAGCTGACTGGTAGAGCTTCTGATAAAAACTCCTGTTCTATTAGAACCGCCTCTCTTATTATTGACTCAACACGTTCTTTCGAAGGCTTTTTGATAATATGTTTAAATAATAGACAAGCGAAATCACAATGTAGACCTTCGTCTCTACTGATTAATTCATTGCTAAAAGACAGTCCAGGCATAAGACCTCGTTTCTTAAGCCAGAATATAGCTGCGAAGCTACCAGAAAAGAAAACACCTTCCACTGCTGCAAAAGCAATTAAACGTTCTGCAAAAGTAGATTTGGAATCTCCAATCCAATCTAATGCCCATTGAGCCTTTTTTGCAACACAAGTTAAGTTGCTTA